TTAAACTTACCCTCATGATTTTGAATGGTATATGATAATTCTGCAATAAACAAACTTATAATAGCACTTCTTGCGTCAAACTTGAATATTAATTTTAATCAACTAAAATAAAAAAAGATTAGGTATTAAAAACCAACAATATATTGAAAACATTTCTTACTACTTTCCTCAGTAGCAGTGGCGTGCAGTAAAATTGTAAACCACGCATACCAAATAAATATGTTGAGAAGCACAAGCTGAACAGAACCTGAAAAATAAAGAAAAATTATACACGACTGCGATCCTAACTATCGCTGATCATCTAAGCAAACAAAACACATAGTAATAAAAATGCATTGAAATAAGAAAAATTTCTGAAGAATTTTCCCCTGGATACAAAAAATATGAACTAAACTATAACCTAACTTATTTGTCATCTCGTTCTACGTTTCCAGATGATCAGAAACTGAATTGGTCAGGAAAAACGCCTGACAATGAAGTTCCTGTCTAGTTATTATTGTTTATCTGAAAAGTAGTTATTTATTAAAAAGAATAGATGAATATCTGAAGAATCTTATCCACAGACACTGCCTTGAATATAAAAAAGATGAGTTCAAGCTATGATATACTCACATATTTTGTGGTTGACATAGAACGATGAAATAATACAGATGGATGAATGGAGAAAACTTTGTGAGGAGCTTATTCCATTAGTTGTACCAATCTAAATAAACAAAAAAACACTATTAATGAAAAAGCATATTGATCTATGGTGAATTCTTTTTAAGAAATGTTTTCGAATATAAAAGAGATAGAAGAAATTCTAAATGACACTTACGTGTTAATGTTCCGGTATTTTTGTATGATTAGAAAGTAATTCATCAAGATATAAAAGCACGGATTTAAAGTTTTAATAGTTGTTCTTGTCTATCTGAGAAGAAGCTACTTATAAAATGATAATAGATTGATACCTGAAAAAAAGTTTTTCATGAATGTTTCCTGAATATAAACAATATGAACTGAAATGGTTAATAATACTTACATGTTGATACTTAACAGCAGATTATCAAGAGGATGTTGTCAATTAAGATGAAAACTTGGTTGCAAAATTTTAATAACGGATCATGATGATCTAAATATAAACAAAAAAAATACTATTAGTAAAAAATTAAGCTAATATGTGATGAATCATTTTTAACAAATATCTTTGAATATAAAAGATATGGAGAAAATGTATAAGTTGTTGTTAAAAACTGTCTAAAACAGTACAATAACCTACCCTTAGGTGTAGATTAATATACCCTTTTGAATAGCATCTAATAGTAATCTACCCTCTAGCGTATTATAATAAACCCTCTCTTTGAACCAAATAATAATCTACCCTTCATTCCTGAATCAGAAACGTTTGTGAAAAATGCGTTTATTAATCTACCCCTAATCGTTTAATAATGAACTGCTTTCCTCAAAATATGAAATACAAAACCCTTAAAAGAGCTCCATATACCCTGTGCCTCTTCAAATACCCTTACGCTCAAAAACCCTTTGGATCATGAACCCTTCAAGGGTATATGCCATCCTCATAAACCCCTCAAGAGTTTATGAAAAGGAAAATCAAGGGCAAGAGTTGATTATTCTGCGCTTTTTTTTACAGTGTAATTCCACATCGAATATAAACGAGATTTTCGAAGAATCCATTGATGACCTTGAGCCTGCTACAAGCATACATGCGTTTGCTATAACAATTCCTGAGGTTTCTAGCAGCATACCTGAGGTTGCTAGAAGCATACTTGGGTTTGCTGCAAGAATTTGAGTGCCTCTCAGATGTATGCGTGACTTTGTCGGAAAGTTGGTTGGAATACTTGTAACAAGATGAGGCGCAGTTGCAGTAACCTCTATAAAGTATCTAGCAGGTCAGCTATGTGTTCCAGTACCTGTGGTGTGTCTCGGAGGACTCCCCAGGTCGAGCAATCCGACAGTAGGCACCTATCAGAACCCATCCGATCCGACTAGAATCCAATAGGCTTTTATCGGATTCTGTCAGATCTTACAGAATTATCGTTGGATTCCGGGTCGAGGAATCGATGTCGTATCCTTAGTGTCGGATTCCTATGAATTCCAACGAAAAATCGTTGGATGTCATCGGAAGTTCATAGGTTTTCGACATTGAGGATCTGACATCGATTCCTCGACCCGGAATCCAATAGAATTGTATCGGATTGTATGATATTTCCAGGTTCCTATCGGATCAATCGACGTGGGGAGGTAAGAATCGTATTTGATTTTTTCATTATCATCTGAACTTCTTTTTAAGGAATGAAATTTTTCTACAAACGTGCGATTTAACTACTTGACAGTATGTTTAACCTCGAAGACGAGCATCATTTTTACATTGGAACTATAAATAATTGCGTGGAGCAACAAAAACACAGATCGAATCATGCCACGCGTACTGTCGAGGTCTCGTTTTGCCTGATACCACTGGTGATGATCCAGTAATTAGTGGCAAAGATATTTGTGAACCATCTTCAAAGAAAAGCAAGTTCATGTTACAACTGATGGATAAGAACGAAACAGTCAAAGAACCAGGTATGAGCGAGATCGATCGTTGTAATTCACTTACGGTCGAAGAGGAATACACAAATCCTCTAACGTTCTGGCAACAACAACAAATTCAATTGGCCTATCCAACCCTTTATCGTCTTGCCAAACGCACATTCGCAGTTCCATGCAGTTCAGGTGCGGTCGAACGTCAATTTAGCGCAGCCGGTCAGATTGTGACTCAGAGGCGCTCGAAGCGAGATCCTTCAACAGTCAACAATTTAATTTTCTTGCGATCCATTGAGAACAGCAAGCGACAAATCTAGCTTGACGTCTTTTTTCTATATTGGCTCATTCTTATGAACTTTATGAATTTTGTAAAGCATTTTTTGTTGTTGTTAAATAAACTTATTATTCTAAATTATTACTATTATTGAAACAAAATCTGCTTTTGAAAATTCGTTGTTTGGGTGGAGGCTCGGTGGCTCGGTTCGAGTCGAGTTGAGTGGACTTTTCTCAAATATGTGCCGAGTCGAGTCAGACCTACAGTCGACTCGAGCCGGATGTTTTTTGGCTCGTTTCGATCTATGATTTGAATTCATAATTAGTCGAATGTTTGAACATATGTCAAATGCTCGTATTGTTGATACAGTTTTTATCAATCGTTCAAAATCGTTTTTGTGCACATGGTTTGAATATTCATTCAAATTCATTATTTTTTTCTTTTAAATAATATTAAAAATCTTTTTTATCTAGCTGCACCGGTAACATTTTCATTTCATACATTATTTGTATATGAAAAAAAATTAGGAGAAAAACCAAATTTTCGTCAATCACTTATAATGGGAACTCTTGGTAAGAAAAACGGAAAATAAATTTTCTTCAATTAAATGAATTTTTTAAAGAAAATATTTATCACATACATAAAATGAAATGGTGTTTTTCAAATAATTTTACATCTTATATAGAAGTTTATCTTCGTCTTGATGGATAAAAACGAGAATTACCATCACCTGTATTTAATTGACGTTATGCAATTGATTTATTACACAAACTTGTTGATAATATGCTTTTCTTTTGTATTCTTTTTTGTGTACTCAAAAAAAAATGTGAGTACACTATAGAATCGGTCAGTGTGTCCGTCCGTCCGTTTATTCGATAACTCTTCACAATTATATTCGATTGAGCTGAAATTTCGTGCACAGAATCGTCTTATCAATATCTCAGTCGAGTTCGAAGATGAGAAGGATCCGTCAAGAAATGGCT